GCGGCCGCGACCGTACTTCGTACCGCTCCTTCAGCAGGTTCTTGGTCAGGCTCCTCCTCCTAGTCCTCCTCCCTCCGTCGAGTGTCCTCTGCCTGTCCAGCCGCAGTCACAGTTACCGCCTGCCTCGCCTCTCCCTGCTCCCTCCCCTTACGCTGGTCCCACAGGAGGTCTTACAGAGCGTCGTGAGCCTGAGTCTCGTCCTGCGTCGCCTGTTCGTACTGCTCGCACTGGTCGTCGTGTCCCACGTGAGCGTCCTCCTCCTATCCCTGGCACTCACTACATGACTCTGCGTCCCTCCACTGCTCCGCAGCGTGTCCCGCTGCCGTCTCCTCCTGCGTCCTCTCTTCCTACTCTTCCTGACCCGGAGTCTGACTCCCGTCGTGCTGCCAGTCCCACTGTTACGCGTCTCCTCGCTACAGTTGTCACTGACCCGACCTTTGAGTCCTCTGCTGCGTCTGCTCTGGTCGCTGAGTTGGTTGACTTTGCTGCTCGCTGTCGCCTAGACTACGCTGCCAGCCTTGTCGCTAGGTCTGAGTCTGCGTCTGCCTGTCCTCCGTCCGTCGGGGGTGAGTGTGCCCTCGGCACGGACGTCCTTGAGGACAGACAGGAGGAGTTCCACTGCCTTGCTGCTGCTTTGCCCCGTCTCGTGTCCTTGCTAGTTGCCCCTGAGGGAGACCCGGATGCACCAGACATCCCGACCCCACGCTCTTACGCTGAGGCGATGGCGGGTCCCTACTCCTCTCAGTGGCAGACAGCCATGGACGCAGAGATGGCCTCCTGGAAGTCCACAGGCACCTACGTAGACGAGGTTCCCCCTCCTGGGGCGAACATCGTCAGTGGCATGTGGATTTTCAGGGTGAAGCGGCCGCCGGGTTCTCCGCCTGTCTTCAAGGCGCGCTACGTGGCTCGAGGCTTCAGTCAGCGAGAGGGAGTAGACTTCTTTCAGACCTTCTCCCCCACCCCGAAGATGACTACTCTTCGGGTGCTGCTGCACATAGCCGCTCACCGCGACTACGAGCTTCACTCTCTTGACTTCAGCACTGCTTTCTTGCAGGGCAGCCTGCACGAGGAGATCTGGCTGCGCCGCCCCCCTGGCTTCACTGGGTCAGTTCCTCCTGGCACCCAGTGGAGGCTTCAGCGGCCGGTCTACGGTCTCCGCCAGGCGCCACGTGAGTGGCACGACACACTGAGGACGACACTTGCGGCTCTTGGGTTCGCTCCCTCTACTGCTGACCCGTCGCTGTTTCTACGCACCGACACCTCGCTGCCGCCGTTCTACATCCTCGTGTACGTCGACGACTTGGTCTTTGCCACTGCTGACACCGCGGCACTCGCTCACGTGAAGTCGGAGCTGCAGAGGAGACACACGTGCACAGACCTGGGTGAGCTGACGAGCTATCTTGGCTTGCGGATCACCCGGGACAGAGCACGGCGCACCATCACCCTGACTCAGTCACACATGGTGCAGCAGGTTCTCCAGCGCTTCCGCTTCACGTACTCCTCGCCTCAGTCCACTCCTCTGCCTACCGGTCACTCGCTCTCAGCTCTGCCTTCGGATGAGTCCGTAGAGCCGAGTGGCCCGTATCCAGAGCTTGTGGGCTGCCTCATGTACCTGATGACCTGCACTCGACCTGACCTTGCATACCCTCTTAGCATCCTAGCACGCTATGTCGCTCCTGGCCGTCACCGGAAGGAGCACATGGATGCTGCTAAGAGGGTGTTGCGCTACTTGTGCAGTACGTCGGGCATGGGGCTTGTGCTTGGAGGGCGAGACCGGGTTGTTCTCACAGGGCACTCAGACGCTTCTTGGGCAGACGACCAGGCTACTCAGCGGTCGTCCCAGGGTTACACCTTCAGCCTTGGCTCTGGCTCAGTTTCTTGGCGTTCTACTCGCTCTTCTTCTGTTCTCAGCTCCAGTTGTGAGGCTGAGATCTACGCCACAGCCATGGCTGCTCAGGAGCTACGCTGGCTGACCTACCTGTTGACCGACCTCGGAGAGCGGCCTCGTTCTCCTCCAGTGCTGTACGTCGACAACAAGGCTGCCATTGCCTTGTGTGAGGAGCACAGACTGGAGCACAGAACGAAGCACATCGCTCTGCGGTACTTCCTTGCTCGAGAGCTGCAGCAGCGTGGTCAGCTTTGTCTGCGTTACGTGGCCACGGAGGCCAACACTGCTGATGTGTTCACCAAGGCGCTTCAGCCTTGTGACCATCAGCGCTTTTGCACTCTGCTAGGCCTTGTACCTACTGGGCCTCACTTGCTTACCTCTTGACCTTGCTTGTACTGTGATCACTATGTATATATGCCTACTTGTTTACTTTTGCTAGGTTGTGATCACTGTATCTCTTGCTTTGTTATAAACCTGCATGTGAACTGGTCTTGTGACCGCTTGCTTGTGCTCGGAATTTGTGTGGAATCCATGAGATTCACCCTGAGCTTGCTTTGCTTTGCTTTGACTGGTCTTGTGACCCTGTGGTTGTCTCCCACTGCGCCTATGGGGGTGTGTCAAACATTGCATGTTTATATTGTGTAGGCTGTAGTGGGTTACACCTTAGGGGGTACACAAAGTTAGGGTTTCCTACTTGTACCAAACTCTGTGCTAGTTCATTTCATTCCTGCTCAGTTATTTCTGACACCCGTCACTGTTTGTTCGTGCCGGCTCCACTCCCTTCTTTATCCTGGTCTACGTCGACGACCTGGTGTTTGCTACAGCTGACAGGGCAGCACTGGCGGAGGTGAAGTCCGAACTGCAGAAGAGACACACGTGCACTGACCTCGGTGAGCTGCAGCGCTACCTTGGCCTGCAGATCACCAGGGACAGAGCCGCTCGCACCATCACACTGACTCAGTCACACATGGTGCAGCAGGTCCTTCGGCGGTTCGGGTTTCAGTTCTCCACCACACAGCCCACTCCTCTTGCTGTAGACCACAGACTCACCGGCCCCTTTCCCGACGAGCCCTTGGAGCCCAGTGGTCCCTACCCAGAGCTTGTTGGCTGCCTCATGTACAGGCCCTCAGATTGGTTTCAGGGTATGCTGATGGATCAGCGTGCCCTGCCCAAATTAGTGACCAAATCAGCGTTGGGGGTCAAGTTTATGCTGATTTGTCAAGGTAAAATTTCATTACTTAATGATACACCAGACAAAAAATTGAATTTGCCCTTCGTAGCTAGGGCTAGTAGCGTAGCTGACTAAGGTTTCGACCTATTACCGCAAAGGTCCCGGGTTCGAGGCCCGTATGTGGGGCCCATGTACGCGCACCCCATCCCTTACCCGATTCATTTTACTACGCCCGAATCAGTGTGACTCGGTACACTATACTGAACCTTCAGTGTTAGTGGTACACTTACACTCAAATTCGTCAGGGTATTCCTACACTTTAAACTGGAAAATCAGTGCAAACATAAAGAATATACTGAAATTTCAGGGAAAATGGAAATCACAGCTACAAAATCAGCCTAATCAGCGTGTTGTACGCTGATATCTGAGGGCCTGCTCATGTACCTGATGACCTGTACTCGCCCGGACCTCGCCTACCCTCTTAGTGTCCTCTCTCGCTTTGTTGGACCTGGGAGGCACCGTCCCGTTCACTGGACGGCTGCTGTGAGGGTGGCGAAGTACCTGGCGACTACATCAGGCATGGGGCTGGTACTTGGTGGGACTCGGCCAGTTGAGCTGACTGGCCTCTGTGATTCTTCTTACGCTGACGACGTGGAGACTCAGCGCTCGACCCAGGGTTATGTTTGTCAGAGTTAACAGACAGGAATGATTGAACTAACAGAGAAATCAGTACAAATAGCAAACCCTAGAATTGTGTACCCCATATAGGCTAACCCACTGTAGCCTAACAAACCCAACATATATAATGTTTGACACACCCCCATAGGCAAAGTGGGGGAGACCTAGGGGTCACAAGACCAGTCAAGGCAAAGCAAGGCAACAACAAGCTCAGGGTGGATCTCGAGGATTCCACACAAATTCTGAGCACAAGCTAGTGGTCACAAGACCAGTTCACATGCAGGTTTATAACAGAGCCAGAGATACAGTGATCACAACCTAGCAAGAGTAAACATGCAGGTATAGATATATATATAGTGATCACAGTACAAGCAAAGTCAAGAGGTAAGCAAGTGAGGTCCAGTAGGCACAAGGCCTAGTAGAGTGCAGAAGCGCTGATGGTCACGAGGCTGAAGCGCCTTGGTGAACACATCAGCAGTGTTGGCCTCAGTGGCCACGTAGCGAATACAAAGCTGACCGCGCTGCTGCAGCTCTCGAGCAAGGAAGTACCGCAGGGCGATGTGCTTCGTTCTGTGCTCCAGTCTGTGCTCCTCACACAAGGCAATGGCAGCCTTGTTGTCGACGTACAGTACTGGAGGAGAACGAGGCGGCTCTCCGAGGTCAGTCAGCAGGTAGGTCAGCCAGCGTAGCTCCTGGGCAGCCATGGCTGTAGCGTAGATCTCAGCCTCGCAACTGGAGCCGAGAACAGAAGAAGAGCGTGTAGAGCGCCAAGAAACTGAGCCAGAGCCAAGGCTGAAGGTGTAACCCTGAGACGACCGCTGAGTGGCCTGGTCGTCTGCCCAAGAAGCGTCTGAGTGCCCTGTGAGAACAACTCGGTCTCGCCCTCCAAGCACAAGCCCCATGCCCGACGTACTGCACAAGTAGCGCAACACCCTCTTAGCGGCATCCATGTGCTCCTTCCGGTGACGGCCAGGAGCGACATAGCGTGCAAGGATGCTAAGAGGGTATGCAAGGTCAGGTCGAGTGCAGGTCATCAGGTACATGAGGCAGCCCACAAGCTCTGGACACGGGCCACTCGGCTCTACGGACTCATCCGAAGGCAGAGCTGAGAGCGAGTGACCGGTAGGCAGAGGAGTGGACTGAGGCGAGGAGTACGTGAAGCCGAAGCGCTGGAGAACCTGCTGCACCATGTGTGACTGAGTCAGGGTGATGGTGCGCCGTGCTCTGTCCCGGGTGATCCGCAAGCCAAGATAGCTTGTCAGCTCACCCAGGTCTGTGCACGTGTGTCTCCTCTGCAGCTCCGACTTCACGTAGGCGAGTCCTGCAGTGTCAGCAGTGGCAAAGACCAAGTCGTCGACGTACACGAGGATGTAGAACGGCGGCAACGAAGTGTCGGTGCGCAGGAACAGCGACGGGTCAGCTGTAGAAGGCGCGAACCCAAGAGCCGCAAGTGTAGTCCTCAGTGTGTCGTGCCACTCACGCGGAGCCTGGCGGAGACCGTAGACCGGCCGCTGAAGCCTCCACTGGGTACCAGGAGGAAACGACCCAGTGAAGCCAGGTGGGCGGCGCAGCCAGATCTCCTCGTGCAGGCTGCCCTGCAAGAAAGCAGTGCTGAAGTCAAGTGAGTGAAGCTCGTAGTCGCGCTGAGCAGCTATGTGCAGCAGCACCCGAAGAGTGGTCATCTTCGGGGTGGGGGAGAAGGTCTGGAAGAAGTCAACTCCCTCTCGCTGACTGAAGCCTCGAGCCACGTAACGCGCCTTGAAGACAGGCGGAGAACCCGGCGGCCGCTTCACCCTGAAAATCCACATGCCACTGACGATGTTCGCCCCAGGAGGGGGAACCTCGTCGACGTAGGTGCGTGTGGACTTCCAGGAAGCCATCTCGGCGTCCATGGCTGTCTGCCACTGAGAGGAGTAGGGACCCGCCATCGCCTCAGCGTAAGTGCGCGGGGTCGGGATGTCTGGTGCATCCGGGTCTCCCTCAGGGGCAACTAGCAAGGACACGAGACGGGGCAAAGCAGCAGCAAGACACTGGAACTCCTCCTGTCTGTCCTCAAGGACGTCCGTGCCAAGAGCACACTCACCCCCGACGGACGGAGGACAGACAGACTCAGACTCAGACTCAGCAACAAGGCTAGCAGCGTAGTCTAGACGACAGGCAGCAGCAAAGTCAACCAACTCAGCGACCAGAGCAGACGCAGCCGAGGACTCAAAGGTAGGGTCAGTGACAACAGTAGCAAGGAGACGCGTGACAGTAGGGTGCTCAGCACGGTACCGGTCAGACTCAGGGTCCGGAACGTCAGGCAAAGAGGACGCAGGAGGAGACGGGAGAGGGACACGCTGAGGAGCAGTAGAGGGACGCAGAGTCATGTAGTGAGTGCCTGGGACAGGAGGAGGACGCTCACGACGGACACGACTACCAGTGCGAGCAGGACGAACAGGCGACGCAGGACGAGACTCAGGCTCACGACGCTCTGTAAGACCTCCTGTGGGACCAGTGTAAGGAGAGGGAGCAGGGAGAGGCGAGGTAGGCTGTAACTGTGACTGCGGCAGGACAGGCGGGGGACACTCTACGGAGGGAGGAGGACAAGGAGGAGGAGCCTGCCCAAGAACCTGCTGAAGGAGCGGTACGAAGTACGGCCGCGGCCGCGCAGCGTCTCCAGAAGCAGAGGAGACTCCAGCGGCCGGGTCCTCAGTACCAGTAGGAGCGCCAGCGTCCGGGTCCACAGCACCAGCAGCAGCGCCACCGCTCGGGTCCTCAGCTCCAGTAGCAGCTCCACCGTCCGAGTCCTCAGCACCAGCAGCAGCTCCACCGTCCGGGTCCTCAGCTCCAGCAGCAGCTCCACCGTCCGAGTCCTCAGCACCAGCAGTAGCTCCACCGTCCGGGTCCTCACCACCACCAGCAGCGCCACCGCCCGGGTCCTCAGCACCAGCAGCAGCGCCACCGCCCGGGTCCTCAGCTCCAGCAGCAGCTCCAACGTCCGAGTCCTCAGTACCAGCAGCAGCTCCACCAGGCGGGTCCTCAGCACCAGCAGCAGCACCACCCCCAGGGTCCGCAGCACCAGGAGCACCACTCCGAAGACTGCAGCGGCGTGTGTACCACTCGCGGATCTGCTGAATGGGGGGGAGCTCCTGGGTAGGAGGGGAAGTACCGGGACGAGCTCCAGCAGCACCTCTCCGGAGGCGGCAGTACTCGAGGTACCTCTCCTGCAGCTGCTGGGAGGAGAGGGCTCCTCCAGGTGTAGCACGCGCAGGCTCAGCACCCCCAGACGCAGCACCCCCAGACTCAGCACCCCCAGGCTCCGCACCTCCTGGCTCAGCACCCCCAGGCTCCGCACCCCCAGACTCAGCACTCCCAGGCTCAGCACCCCCAGACGCAGCACTCCCAGGCTCAGCACCCCCAGACGCAGCACCCCCAGGCTCAGCACCCTCAGATGCAGCACCCCCAGGCTCAGCACCCCTAGCAGGTCGAGATGTCAGAGTTAACAGACAGGAATGATTGAACTAACAGAGAAATCAGTACAAATAGCAAACCCTAGAATTGTGTACCCCATATAGGCTAACCCACTGTAGCCTAACAAACCCAACATATATAATGTTTGACACACCCCCATAGGCAAAGTGGGGGAGACCTAGGGGTCACAAGACCAGTCAAGGCAAAGCAAGGCAACAACAAGCTCAGGGTGGATCTCGAGGATTCCACACAAATTCTGAGCACAAGCTAGTGGTCACAAGACCAGTTCACATGCAGGTTTATAACAGAGCCAGAGATACAGTGATCACAACCTAGCAAGAGTAAACATGCAGGTATAGATATATATAGTGATCACAGTACAAGCAAAGTCAAGAGGTAAGCAAGTGAGGTCCAGTAGGCACAAGGCCTAGTAGAGTGCAGAAGCGCTGATGGTCACGAGGCTGAAGCGCCTTGGTGAACACATCAGCAGTGTTGGCCTCAGTGGCCACGTAGCGAATACAAAGCTGACCGCGCTGCTGCAGCTCTCGAGCAAGGAAGTACCGCAGGGCGATGTGCTTCGTTCTGTGCTCCAGTCTGTGCTCCTCACACAAGGCAATGGCAGCCTTGTTGTCGACGTACAGTACTGGAGGAGAACGAGGCGGCTCTCCGAGGTCAGTCAGCAGGTAGGTCAGCCAGCGTAGCTCCTGGGCAGCCATGGCTGTAGCGTAGATCTCAGCCTCGCAACTGGAGCCGAGAACAGAAGAAGAGCGTGTAGAGCGCCAAGAAACTGAGCCAGAGCCAAGGCTGAAGGTGTAACCCTGAGACGACCGCTGAGTGGCCTGGTCATCTGCCCAAGAAGCGTCTGAGTGCCCTGTGAGAACAACTCGGTCTCGCCCTCCAAGCACAAGCCCCATGCCCGACGTACTGCACAAGTAGCGCAACACCCTCTTAGCGGCATCCATGTGCTCCTTCCTGTGACGGCCAGGAGCGACATAGCGTGCAAGGATGCTAAGAGGGTATGCAAGGTCAGGTCGAGTGCAGGTCATCAGGTACATGAGGCAGCCCACAAGCTCTGGATACGGGCCACTCGGCTCTACGGACTCATCCGAAGGCAGAGCTGAGAGCGAGTGACCGGTAGGCAGAGGAGTGGACTGAGGCGAGGAGTACGTGAAGCCAAAGCGCTGGAGAACCTGCTGCACCATGTGTGACTAAGTCAGGGTGATGGTGCGCCGTGCTCTGTCCCGGGTGATCCGCAAGCCAAGATAGCTTGTCAGCTCACCCAGGTCTGTGCACGTGTGTCTCCTCTGCAGCTCCGACTTCACGTAGGCGAGTCCTGCAGTGTCAGCAGTGGCAAAGACCAAGTCGTCGACGTACACGAGGATGTAGAACGGCGGCAGCGAAGTGTCGGTGCGCAGGAACAGCGACGGGTCAGCTGTAGAAGGCGCGAACCCAAGAGCCGCAAGTGTAGTCCTCAGTGTGTCGTGCCACTCACGCGGAGCCTGGCGGAGACCGTAGACCGGCCGCTGAAGCCTCCACTGGGTACCAGGAGGAAACGACCCAGTGAAGCCAGGTGGGCGGCGCAGCCAGATCTCCTCGTGCAGGCTGCCCTGCAAGAAAGCAGTGCTGAAGTCAAGTGAGTGAAGCTCGTAGTCGCGCTGAGCAGCTATGTGCAGCAGCACCCGAAGAGTGGTCATCTTCGGGGTGGGGGAGAAGGTCTGGAAGAAGTCAACTCCCTCTCGCTGACTGAAGCCTCGAGCCACGTAACGCGCCTTGAAGACAGGCGGAGAACCCGGCGGCCGCTTCACCCTGAAAATCCACATGCCACTGACGATGTTCGCCCCAGGAGGGGGAACCTCGTCGACGTAGGTGCGTGTGGACTTCCAGGAAGCCATCTCGGCGTCCATGGCTGTCTGCCACTGAGAGGAGTAGGGACCCGCCATCGCCTCAACAGCTACCTCGACAGGCTCACCCGGGTCTACCTGGGACACACTTGAGGGAGCGGCACCCTGAGGGGGGAGGGGGTCGGGTACCTCAGCACCTGGAGCGAGGAAGAGAGGCGGGGGGGGGAGCGGGGCAGTGCGGTAGGGGAAGAGGCGGTAGTAGGGGACGGACTCGTCAAAAGTGACGTCCTGAGAGGCCAGGACACGACGCGAGGTGGGGTGGTAGAACTGCCAGCCAGAGACGTCCGGGACAAAGCCAAGGAAGACGCAGGGGACAGCGCGACGGGAGAGCTTGTCCGCGGACGTGTCGCGGACAAAAGCTCGGGATCCCCAAACCCGAAAACGCGACGCATCGCCAGCCTCTCCCGTCCAACGCAGTGTCGGAGAAGTCTCGGGCAAGGAGACACGGGGCCAGAGGTTGAGCTGATGCGCAGCGTATTGGACTGCAAACGGCCACAGAAAATGGGGGGCAGCCGCATGGCTCAAGGAGGTACGAGCGACCTCCATGACCAGACCAATGCGGCGCTCAGCAACCCCATTCTGCTGTGGAGAGGCCGGAAGCGTGTACGACTGCTCAATGCCCTCCTGCTGACAGAAGGCCTCCAATAGGCCAGAGGAAAACTCCCCACCTCTGTCAGAGTGCAGACGCAGGACAGGAAAGTCCGAGTGGAAACGCTCACGGAGCTGGAGACGAGATCTGCGGATCCAAGGGATCAAGACATCAGGGACGTCACCCTTGGCGCGCAAGGGGAAGACCGTGGTGTAGCGCGAGAAGTCGTCAACAACAATCAGGAAGTACCTCTCCTGACCCTGACCACGGACGCGGGCTGGGCCCCACACGTCCATGTGGAGCGTCTGCAAGGGAGCAGTCATCGGGGGAAAGGAGGAGGAGTGAGGAGCGGCGCGCTGCCGTCCCTCGACACAGGGAATACAGGGAGGAGCAGGCGAGTCGGGAAGGGGAGGGAGCACCCTGGGAAGACCAGCAACAAGGTCCCGTTTGTGCATGGCCCGAAGGCGCTGCACAGACGGGTGACCAAGGCGGTGGTGCCAAAGGACAGTCTCATGCGTCAGAGAGCGACACGAGCAGGGGGCGGACAGCTGACCTGACGCAGACGCAGACGCGGACGCAGCTACCTGAGGGGAGTCAGTGGTCAGTGTGTAAAGGTCCGACCCCGGCTCCCGAGTGAAGGTAGCCAGGTGGCGACCCGTCCGAGCACACGTGCAGTGTGTCACGCGCTCGTAGGCAGGGGTGAACTGGTGAACACCCCCGTCCTGGAGCGCACTACCTGCCACCAAGTTCGTAGAGAACGAGGGGAGGTAGAGACCTGACAGCGTGCCGGACGGGACCGCCGGACAAGGAAGGACAGTGGAGGAGGTCGCAATGACCGGACCCCCAGAGGGGTCAGCAAGGGAGACAGCAACTGGCCGAGCTAGTGGCTCAAGGACAGTGCGGTCACGAAAGAAGGAGCGAGAAGCACCTGAGTCCAGTGTGAAGGTGTGCAGTGCTGCAGTCGACTCAGTACCAGGGGGGACGGACGCACGAGCACCTAGGGCTGCAGCCTCACCAGGACCTGTGGGAGCAGACGCACTAGCACCTAGAGCGGCAGCCGGACTGGCCTGAATGCCCGGGTCGGGTGGAACACGCAAGTACTGAGCACCCTCTCCACTAATAGACATCGCATACATGGCAGTGAGAATAGCATCAAAGTCTAAAGCCCAAATATCAACACCCCTCTTTTCCAGATCAGCCCAGCGCGGCAGCTCAGTGGCAGCAGGAAACTGAGTGCGCCACGCGTCGTTAAGGCGCGCGAAGCAGCGCTGCGTGGGGTGCGGCCTCCCACACTGCTGGCCGCTGCGGTCACCTGTGCGAATGACGTACGTGCAGATAACGCTACGCTGCGCATACCACTCACGGGCGGCCTGAAGCGTCGGGGCGGGCTGCTGACTCTGCCCTCCGCCAGTGCCTCCACGACCACCACCCCCACCGCCGCCGCCCCGGCCACCTCCACCCCTGCCGCCGCCACGACCACCTCCGCCTCCGCTGCCGCCTCCACCACCACTCCCACCGCTGCTGTCTCCTCCCCCACTGCCGCCACCAGTCTCCCCAGCCGCGCCTCCACTCCCACCGCCTCCACCCCCACCTCCTCCGCCACCACCCCCACCCCTGCCCCCCTTGTTCCTGCGGCGCCCGCTCGAAGAAGACGCGGGTCCCGACCTTCTCAGCACCAAGAAGGTCGACAGCAGCAGCAGAGGCGACAGAGGGGAGGAGGGGGGAAGGGGAACACCCCTCAAAGAACGGGGTGCGGGGGTCGCCACGAGAGGTGCCTACAGCGACGATGCTCGCCTCAGCTGCAAGCAGTTCCTTCTCGAGGAGGGCAACAGTGAGCTCAGTGGGGGAGCGAGAGAGGAAGTGGTCCCTGACTGCGCGCAGAGAGTCAGGGAGGCGGGTGACGATGTGGTAGAGAGTGATCCAGAGCGGGGGGGGGGTTGCTAGTGAGAAACTCGGCAGGCATAGCAGCGCGAAAGCGGGCCTCACTAGTCTTAAGGTGGGTGATGAGGTCTGCGACAGTGTGAAAGGAGGCTAGGTCGGGGAACAGGTAGGGGAGAGTGAGGCGGCCTAGTGTGGCAGAAGCAGGTGAGGAGTAGCGGGCAACTACAGCTGTGTAGAGGTCCTTAGCAGTCTTGCACTGGCCGAAGTGCTCGCGCTCGTCTAGTGGCAGGGAGTTGCGAATAGCAAAGCGAGCGTGTGCATCACGGGTCTGCCACTGGGAACGCAGAGTGCTGTCAGCAGACGAGTCAGGGGCAGTGGCATGGCCTAGGGCGTGGTCGTACAGTGAGATATCTTCCTTGGCAGTGAGCTGTAGGAACAGATGCAGGTCATCTAGCCAGGTTTCGAACTTCACCGGACGGCCCTCGGCATCGAAAGCTAGAACGGGAGGGCTAGCCATAGCGACAGTAGCAGTAGGAATCAGGCCGCTGGAACAGTGTGCGGAGAGTCAACGGGGCCGGCTGGGCCACTAGGTAAGGCGCGGGCGGGGTCGACTGTCCGTAGTGGCACACTAGCGGCAGTAGTAGGTAGCTGGGCAGCAGGAGCTGCAACGGTGCACTGGTGGCTGTTGCAGTGGCAGCAGTGTGCACGGTAGGTAGAAAATAATAGCAG